CAGACAGACAGACAGACAGACAGACTGTCTCACCCTCTGGTTCAGGATGATGTGTTGGTGAGGACAGCTGTGGTTGTGAGTACACAGTTGATCCAGAGGACACCAGTTACACCTCCAGATACTGCTGACACAGGACAGACACCTGCAGCACACAGCATCTTCATCATCACCATCATCATCACCGCCATCATCATCATCATCATCAGTAACTGTATTGTGTGTTTGTGTGTTTGTGTGCTACTGGTGTCTTACTGGGAGCTCTGGTTCAGTCGACTCACGGCGCTGCAGTCATAGAAGGTCATGTTGCCCGTGGTGATGGTCACATGACCAAACATGAGTGACACGGGAAGGATCATGTGATCTGCAGGAAGTGACAGGCAGAGGAGTCAGACTACAGCAGCCCCAGAACATGAATGAATCCTGCAGGTCAGTTTGTACCCACCGCTTCCTGTTGGCATGGAGGGGAGGAGCTCCGGCGCAGGTGACTGACAGGTGATGCTGGTTCCCATGACGACGGCCGGCTGAGGTGGGAGGAGCCCAAAGACGCAGGACAGAGACTCCGCCCTCGTGAGTGCAGGAAGTTGGATGACTGACAGCGTTACCTTGGAAACGAACACAGAAACACAGTTACCGCCTCTCCACCAGGACAGTTCTGGTTCTGGAGCTGGTTCTGTTGGATCTGTGGAACCGGCTGCAGTTCCACCAGGCTGCAGCAGAACTGATGTGTCACCATGACAACAGATCTGTTTACTGCAGTGCTCCGGTTCTACCTGCAGTTTGGTTTTTACATGCTGATGAACACTGAGACACATTTGTTTATGGAAGAGCGCTGCAGACCAGCACAGCTACATTCAGTCTGACCAATCGGGTCACAGTTACCGAACTTCCATCGTCTCTACCTTTTTAACGAGACACTCCCTCTGATGAGGAGGGCAAGGACTAATTCATCTGGTTCTTCTTCTTGAAATTAGTCCACACAGGAACCTTGATGTGATGACATTGTCATGGTTCTGTTTGGTTCCAGAAAAACTTTTAGGATTTCAAACTACTTTTATAATTGGATTTTGGTTGAAACTTGAACCCGTTCTACGTTGGTAGAAAGCTGTTAGCTCAGGGTCTTGGTTCAGGATTCTTGGAGTTCTGGTGTTGTCTCCTGAACCAGCTTAGAGTTCCATCAGTTCTGAGTGGAACCACCGTGATTAAGATGCATCCTCCCTCTAATGGGGTGGGATGGTGGCTCAAGTGGTCCAGCAGGTTCTCCACTAATCTGAGCCTACAGCGCCACCTTCTGACGCCATCATGCAGCAGAATTTATTTTCTCCAAAGCAGTTGATGAAATAATTAAAGAATAATTTACATTTTTTGGTGACATTTCAAAGGTTCACTTCAGATTTGACTGACACTTAAATGAAAACATGGCTGGTGTCAGAACCAGAACCACGAGTCCGGTTCTGACCCTGCTCCTCTGGTTGTCTTACAGGCACCTGTAGGATCAATGTATAAGAGCTTCTCTGCATTCACACAACCGATAATCAATAACTGCTGCTGACCCGCTGCCTACCTGTGTCTGCTCTTCTCTGCTCTGATTGGCCGGCTGCAGGCTCTGCACGGTCACACACTGATTGGTCGGTTCGAAGCTCCACAGCCAATGGTTGGGCTGCTGGTGACGCTGACACTGATGTTTACGGGAACATCTGGACGAAGCAGAAACACGAGCAGATGTCAGTAAATGCTCAGTGAAGACATAAACCTGCTGATCAGATCAAAACCTGATTCAGCTGCAGGTTCACGGAGAACACAGAACAAGAACAAATATGAATAAAAAGCATCCAAAGCTAAACGAGATGTGAACCCTTTGAACTGAACAGCTCCTGTCTCATGTTCCTTCACTGGTTCATGTTTCTCTGCAAAATCAAGTCCTGCAGCTCTGAGGAACCAGAACATGAAGCAGAAGAGAGAACTCAGAGACG